TGTATTTGCAAGCCAAAATATTGCTTATATCAATACACAATATTACATCTTTTTTATCATGGATATTAAAGCAAGGGCAGACATTTAGGTGATTTGGTTAAGGATGTAGAGCAAATTACTCCACTACGTTTAATTTTATTTCTTATAAATGTATAATTTCTGGGAGGAAAAGAAAAATATTTTCTGCATACACACGAATCTTTGGTAGCCAAAGTTGGTCTTGGGGCAAGAATGGGAGGGAGAGGCAAGGAGAAGATACAGAAAAATTAGAAATTTGTGCTATATGTTTATATGCTTCTGTGTAAAGTCATAAAAGTGTTGAAAAATCTATAAGCTTTAAAAACTCTTTCAAATTATATGATAATTTCATATGATAAATATGAAAATATTTGAAGCAGCACAATTTTGATGGTTTTACATTAATTCATTGTATAAACAAAGCTTAACCAAATTGAAAAGCAGTGTAATATCTTATTGGGGTTTTGTTGCTTTTGAAATAAACTTACCCATTTCAAATACTTAATAAAATGGTGATGTTATACTTCAAGATGACTTGTTTAGCCATGGTGATGATTTACATATATTTTGAATTTGAATTTTGTGCTCCAAATAAGAGCTGCTTGAAAGTGGTGCAAAATCATAACTTCATTGTATTTTTTTCTTGGTTAAAAATGTACAAAGAAGTGTAATTTATTCAGTAATTATATGCATCTTAACATCAAAGCCAATAGATATGAAAGGGGTATTAAAACTTTTCTTACTGAATTGTTTAAAACTAATTTTAGAACTATAAAAACCTATTTAGATGTTTATACCTCATAATATCACTGACAACTTATTTAATAATCTCAAAGTAGAAATCTTAAGATTATTAAAGTTAAATATTGAATACATATTAACAGAAGAGTGGTCACAAAACTTGCCAATTATTTTCAATATCTGAAAAATGATAGCTTTGTGAAGTAGTTTTATTCAAGATTTTAAAATATATTTTATAAACACATTTTAAAAATCCCAAATGTTAAACTGTTCCTATATGTGAATTTCTTTTGGAATGAAAATAGTATGATTTTCTTTTTCAAATGTCTTATATCAACAATTTCCAAGAGAAAATCCTGTAATAATATTGAATAGTTTTAAAATTATTTGAAAACCCTAACACAGTGGGAAAAATATGGCAGTGTTCTAATTGAAGTAAATTAAATCTAGTGATTTTATTTTGTCCTTCAATTTTTTAGTTTCTTTCTGCAAAATATAATTGAATATCTTCTGTTAATATATGATGAATTTGCTTATATCAGAAAATAAACTTAAAATTTTATATACAATTATAATTTTTTAAAAAACTTACTTTTTCAAGAATTGCCAGAATGGGATTTGTTAGACTAGCTATTTTTCATCTAATAAGTGCTTTTATATTTACTTTTAATTTACTCACATTTGTTTGGGGACTCTATATTTCAAGAAACTTAATGTAGAGTATTATTAACATGGTAAAACAAAATTTAAATTAACCTTATGAGATTAACTGTATGGAAGCCAGTATGACACAGTATTAGAAGTAGCAGCAGCATGAGCTTTGTAGATGGCCCTTGTTTCAAGTTTCACCATTGCCCCTAATTCTATGATTTAAGGACAGTAACTTTCTTCCTTCAAATATCAATCCATCATCACAAAAATGGGAGCAATAAGAATAGTTATAGAGTTTTGTGAAATTAAATAAAATAATGCATGGAAAGTGCTCAGTGTATCTGATATGGAATTAGTACTGGAAAAATATTTGTTACTATAATTCATATTATTTTTACACTAATTTCACCTCTGTCTCCATCTAACACATGAAGCTTAGTGCATTTAAAAGAGAAAGTAAGCCCATAGAAATTTAGCCTGTGGGGTTTAAATGTTTTAGTCTTTTATCACAAGTGTCTCATCTATACATGTTCCACATACTTAGACATTATTTCCACAAGTACTCTCTTCTTGATATTTAGTCTTACTTCTAATTTCTTCCTTTCTTTTAAAGATCACAGACAACTTCCTGAAAAGATCATGTCACATGATCCTTAATTTTCCCTAATGTGTTAGAATCTTGGCCTATTCCATTGAGAGATAGTAAACCCATTATAAGAGAGCATTTTAATGTTCAAATTTTTCTCATAATTTGACTCAACCAATTATTTTCAGAAACTTGAAATATTCAAACTCTTTTTTAAAGTATCAAAACCTGAAAACATATGTCTGATTTTCTTTTATATATACACATATTTGTTTTTGTTACCAGGTCACCTGTCTCCCTGATTTATAATCATGGGCACTGTCAGATCCTTCTGTAGCATGGAGAAGATGGTATTTGGCTTATAGAAACAGAGAGACTTTATTGGCCCCATAATCACCATTTATAATGGGAATGGGATGTGCAGCATTCCAAGACTAGTTCAAAGAAGTAAACATTTTCCAAAGGCTATATATACACTTTTTATATTACAATGCATTCTTTTATCCTCTCATAATACAGAGAAACCACATATAATGATAAAAGCAAAAATATCAAGAGATGAAAGGGAAGAAACTATTCTTTTCTTTTCTAGGTTACACTCTGATGTTCTTATCTTCTCTTTATGGACTTTTTGGCATTTATGATCTAAAACTGTCTCAATTAGCATTGCTAATATTTTGATACATCTCGGTGGCTGAGTTAGAGACACCTTTTATAGA